GCTTAAATAAAAACAACCACACCATCCACACAGAGCCTCAACCAAAATAAAAGCACCATCTTACAGAGTCCAGCCGTTTCACCCAACTCCAAAATAGAGGCAAGGGCCTGGCGTTATATGTTGTTGTTGTTGTTGTTAAGCGTCATTGAGTATCGACTCTATAAACGAAAGACCTTAACCCTGTTCTATAACTATTGTTCTTTCAGGTATAGAGACAGGATACAACCCTGATGCACACCTTTCTTAGTTTTAAACCACGTGGTGTTCCCTTACTCTATTTGCACGATAGCCTTGGTATAGGTTTCACATGAGCATAATTAGGGGTTCTAGGATTCCCTTTCTTCTCAATGTCAGCCATAATTTGTTTTGATCCCACTCAGTCAAATTCCTTTGCATAGACTTAAAGTTCATCACTTTCTATTGTGAACATCTTTCCATGTCATTCAGGAGTCTTCTTCAGCTCCCTTTTCAATCTTTTTCTAGAATTCCATTCTACAACCTTTTACCTTTTTATCAATGTCCTGTTATTTGGTGTTTACATTGTCTTTCACTTAGACAGCCTTGTGACTCGGTGTACTCACCTACCTGACTGTGCCATCAGGCTGAACTCCTAGGGAATGGCTGGGCTCCGGTGGGATGAACAAACCTAAGACCTAAGTTCACCCTCTAGACAAACCTTCCACTCTCCACTCCCACCAGCAGGAGGAAGACCATCTCCTCAGGCTCCCTCTACCAGGACCACTCCTCACTCTCCATGCAGGAAACCAGAGGTTCTAGAGGTGAAGGGGTGAGGGCAGCCACACCTCTGGGGCGAGCCAGCACCTGGGCTGGAATGTAAGCTTCCGGGTGCTCCATGTGGGGCACTTTCTCTCCAGAGTGACCCAACTGTCACAAAGCTCATGGTGTGTGTCTCAGGAGATTCTGCTGCCCAGCTGGGACTGACCTTGCAGACATAGATGGACATCTCCCAGGGATGCTGCCGGTGTCCAGTCAACTTGGGTTCCCCAGTGACTGCCTGACTGGTTCTCTCAGCTAATACCCACCCCCTTCCCGTGCAGCCTGTCTCTGCCCCCTGGGAGCACAGTCTGGGAGCACAGAGACTTCACCCACAGTGGGCGGGAGCCACCCGTCCTCTGGTGGGACAGGTCTGTGGTGTGCTCCCAGGCATGACTGAACCCCACTTCCCCTCAGATCGGTGAGCTCACCCTTTCTTTCCATGCTCCCATTCCTGCTTCACTTTCTCCATCATCTGATTTGCATTTTCTGGAATTTATATTGTTTGTATCCTGTTTTCTAGTCCTTTAATGATGCTATTTCCCCCCTTTTTTATCAATGGTATTTCCTACTCCTCGTAAAAGCATGCATCGGGAAATAAACAATAGCAAAGAAGCCATAAAAATGGTCAGAACGCCATCACAGCTTGCCAGCATTCACAGTTTGGTTTTTGCCATTGTCTATATCTGAAGATGCATATACATATACACCTATTTTTTTTTTTAATAAAACTGGGACCGTTTTGTGATATTCTTTTAAAGTCACTGTCCCAGAGTCAATTCCAGCTCAGGAATCCACTCTTCCTAGAAACACCCTCCCTTCCCCACAATCGTGTGTCTGAGGCGGTAAAGCTTAACAGGGTGAGGGTGCGGGAGGGTTTGAACTGTTCACCTTTGGGTCAGGAGCCCCACATTTAACCTGCTTCATCCCCAGTGCACCATATCCTTTTGCTGCTGTTCTGGGTGGTTTTTGGAGGCTGTAAGTCTTAAGGGAGGAGGGTGCTCCTCTTTCTCCCTCAGAGCAGCTGGTGGATTTGAACCACACACCTTCAGGATGGCTTCTCACTGAAACACCAGCCCCCAAGTCCTTGTCTTAGGGTCCTGTTTTGGAGGAACTTCCCTCAGGCAGTCCTATCATCCTTCCTTGTGTACATTTCCTGTGTTCATTAAACCACCAGCTGCCATCAAGTCTGTTCTACCTCCTGGAGACCCCACGTGTGTCAGAATAGAACTGGGGTCCTTTTAAAAAATTATGTATTTATATATGTATTTATTTACATTCGTTCATTGTTGCACGCTTCCTTCCTACCCACCCCACCCCTAGTTAGCTTTTCTCTTTGATAAGTAAAAAAAAATTTCTTTCATTGTTACACAATGCCCCCCCAGTTGACACCACTATGCAGCTTTCATTCTGAACTCTTGTCACGACAATAATACCTAATCATATAGTCCTCCTAAACAGTTTTCTCCCTCATCTGTTTCAATGCAGTATACATAGTTTATCCAGTTTTTCTCAGTCTTACTCCAACTCCGATGTCAGTCCCACTTTACAACAGTGACACTAGGCGGTATTTGTCCTTTTGTGACTGAGATACTTCACTCAGCATAATGTCCTTCAGGGTCACACATTTTGAATAATATTGCATGAGTTCCTTGTTTTTCAATGCAACTTGGTATTCCATTGGGTGAATATACCACAGCTTCTCTATCCATTCATTTGTTGATGGGCACTTGGGTTGTTTCCAACTCCTTGCCATTGGGAACAAAGCAGCAATAAACACAGGTGAGCATATATCTGCTTGGGTGGCAATTATGGTGTCTTTGGGGTATATTGTTGGTAGTGGGATTGCTGGGTCACAAGGTATTTCTGTTTCTAATTTTTGAACAGGGTCCTTTTCTGAACAGAGATAAGCCAGTCTTGAAGCCCTAGAAGTGTAAAGGCAAATGGTCAGCCGAGTCCCCAGCTGCCCTTAACTGTCGTCAGGTGCCATTCCATTAATTTTTTGACTTAGTGATGTCACGGAATAGAGTAGAATCACCTCATCACACTTCCTAGGCTGTACTTTTTATGGTTCTTTATGTTTGTTCACGTGGCAGTCCATGGGATATTCAGCACCCTTCTCCCACACCACCATTCAAAGGCATTGATTTTTCTTCTCTCATCCTTATTCATTGCCCAGCTTTCAGATGCATAGTAAGGGATTGAGAAGACTATGGCTTTTTTTAATTAATTTTAATGAATGTTTGCAGAGACTTTGGATTTCTATTTATTCATTGTTGCACTTTTCTCCCCTCTCACCTCCCCCAACCCCAGTTCACTCTTCTCTTTGGAAAGTAAAAGAAAAGTTCTTTCATTGGTATATAATCCCCCACCCCCCATCCCCCAAGTACACTCTACTATGCAACCTTCATTCTGTACTCCTGTCATGACCATAATACTGAATCATATATCACTTTTAAACAGTTCTCTCCCTCATCTGTTTAAATGTAGTATACATAATTTATGCAGTCTTTCTCAGTCTCACCCCAACCCTATGTCAGTCCTGTACTACAACAGTGGCACTATGCAGTATCTGTCCTTTTGTGACTGAGATATTTCACTCAGCATAATAAAAAAGGGGGGGGGGGAAAGACCATGGCTTGAATCAGGCACCTTAGTCTGCAAAATGACATCGTTGTTCCTCCATACTTGGGAAAGGTCCCTGACAGCACACTTTCCTAACACAATATTGTCTACTGGTGCCAAGTAGAGTGAAGTCATTGACAGTGTCAATCTTTTCTCCATCTATCATGGTGTTGCCTTCCAGCTCAGTGATGAATATTTTTGTTTGCTTTCTGTTGAGATATAATCCACTAAAAGCTGTAGTCTTTGATCTTTCTGCAGTAAACATTTCAAGTCCTCCTCACTTTTCGCAAGCAAGGTTGTGTCAACAGAGTGAACACTTAGGTCTCGGAGAAGGTGCAGCTACAGTGCTCCTTGGAGGAAAAGATGGCAAAGCTTCGTCTCACATACTGGGGCATGTTGTTAGGAGAGGCTGTTCCTTGGAGAGAGACATCATGATAGGAAAGGTGGGGGGTCGGCAAAGGAGAGGAAGACCCTTAGCCAGATGCGCTGACGCACTGACTGCAGCACCGGGCTCGAGTGTGTCAGAGACGATGAGGATGGCCCAGGACGGCACTGGATCCACATCTGTCGTTCCAAGGATTGTTATGAGTCATGTTCTACTTGGTGACACTTAACAGCACAACAGCCATCTTTATGGAAGGTGTCCTGGTGGCGTAGTGCATGATGTATCAGGCTGCTAACTAACCAAAGGTCAGCAGTTTGAATCCATGAGCCACTCCAAAGGAGAAGGATAGGAAGTCTCATCCTGTAAAGATGTAGGGCCTTGGAAAACTAACGGAAGGTCACTGCGGGTTGGAATCACTCAGTATCAGTTGGTAGAAAGCTTCCCATGAATATGGAGCAGATTACCAGGTCTGTGTGTCCTTGGAGCTGCTGAATGCGTGTGAACCACCAACCTTTCAGTTGACTCTTAGCTCTTGCCCACTGTACCTTCCCTTGCTCAAGACAAAGGGGAAAAAAATCTGTTCTTCAGAATAGTTAGCATTCTCGGACACATCCTTGTTGTTATTGTTGTTGTTATGTGCTGTCAAGTCACCTGCGACTCATAGCGACTTTATGTACAACAGCCCCAAACCCTGCTCTATCCTGTGCAATCGCGCTGTCTCTGACACACCTACCCCCATTACCCCAGTCACTGAATCAATCCATCTCATCGAGGGTCTTCCTCTCCTGCGTTGTCCCTTTACCCTCCCAAGCATGATGTCCCTCTCCAAGGACAGATCCCACCTTGCAAAATACCGAAAGTATGTCAGACAAAGCTTCAGAATGCTTGCCTCCAAGGAGCAGCCTGGCTTCACTCTCTCCAGGACAAACCTGTTCATTTTCTTAGCAGTCCATGGTATAATCAATACTCTTCTTTAGCACCACAGCTCAAAGGCATTAATTCTCCTTCTATCCTCCCTAGTCATTGTCCAGCTCTCCAGTGCATAGCAAGTGATTGCAAAGACCATGGCCTGTATCAGGCACACCTTAGTCTCCAGACTGACATCATTGCTCTTCAGCACTTTAGAGAAGCACATCTCGAGGCAAGAAAAATTACTTGGCACAATGTTAAACTTGCAACATAAATATTTTATCATTTGCTTTCTCTGTCACTTCAGGCAACCGAGGCATCGGCCATTTGTTCTGCCAAGACCAGCTTCTGCAGGCCTCCCTGTCACTGTCCCACGCCTGCTCAGTCCTCATCACCACCGGCTTCCCCACGCATTTAACCCACGAGCCTCCGGAGGAGACAGATGGGCCCCCGGGAGCCATCGCACTAGCTGCCTTCTTGCGGGCGTTGGGGAAGAACGTCGCCATGGTGGTGGACCAGAGAGCCCTGAGCTTGCACAAGAAGCTTGTCAACGAGGCTGTTGAGCAAGGTGAGGAAGTCTGCCTGCTCCCCTTGCCGAATCTCGGTGGACCAACATGGAGGGATCAGTGTTGGGTGCCCAGGGACAGCCCTGTGGCTTCTGAGAGGGTCGATAGCTAGTTGCTTCCCCAGCAGTTCGAATCTCTGCAGGAAAGAGATGAGAAGTCTAGTCTCATTATAATTCATAGCCGAGGAGACCCGGTGGAATTTTCCCACAAACTGGAGGAAACTAGACGGCTGTGAGTTGTTTAGTTTATCCCCATTTTATAAATGAAAAAACTGAGGCTCTGAGAGCTGGCTGCTTAACCAGACGGCAAGGGGAGGTGGACTTCGATCCCAGGTCCCACCTGCACAGCAGAACTGCAGGAAGTGTCACTCCAGTGGTATCTGCAAGGCTTCCCACTCCCCTTCTCTCCAGGTTCCTCTTGGCTTTTCAGAGAGACTCCCCCCTCCGCCCCCTTCATGTTCTAAAAGGACTTCAGTCACAGTGGAGCATATATACCCTTTCACACCTGTTGTGTTAGAAACTACAAAAAGCTGTGCCATTACTCAGGAGCTCTGGTGGCCTAGTGGCAAGCAAGTTGTGCTGCAGTCCCAAAGGCACATGGTTCAAGGCCACCAGCTGCTTCGCGGGAGAAGGAATCTCCTCCTGTGCAATTAACTGCCTCTGAAAACCCGAGGGAGGGCCAGCTATGGGTTGGTTCCAACTCAACCTCAACGGTAAACAAGAAACTGTACAAACAGCTATTTGGGCTGAGTCAGTTTCCAATGGGCTGAGTCATTAACCTCACCTATAAAAGGAGGGAACTGGGGCTGGGGCGATCTGCTGGCCTAGCCTGGAGGGAATTGCAGCTAATCAAAGGCGGTACCTCTCCTGCAGCTTGGCTCCACCAGCCGTTCCACAGGAGGAGGATAGACAGTCACCTCTTGTGCGAGTTACAGTCTCTAAAAACCCACAGGAGAGCCAGCCGTCAGTCAGCGCTGACTCAGTGATGCTGAAGGTTTGCTTTTGGGTTTTGGTTTTGGTTTTGAGACGATGGTAAAACAAATGTGTCTTAGAACAATCGCAGCCAGGTTGTTTCTTAGAAGTGAGGGAGGCAGTGAGACTTTTTCTCACACGCATCTGGCGTGTTGTCCCTGGGGAAGGACATCGAGCTTGCCAAAGTGGCGGGTGGGTGGGAAAGAGACCCTCAGCAAGATGGGTCGACGCTGCAGCACGACTGCGGAGACCGAGGGTGGGCCGGCCTGGCCAGGGTTTTGTTCTCTTGTACAAAGCATCTCGATAAGTCAGAGCTGGCGAAAAACAATGCCACCCCAAGTTCCTGGCTTGGGCTTTAGTTTCTGAGGGCCCACTCCACCACCCCCCTGAGTTTCTGGGCTTTCCTTTCTGAGGGCCCACTCTCAGACAATGAAAGGTCCAGGGAAAGGGTGGGGGACATAGCTCCCTTCTGTCTGCATGGAACGTTAAGGGAGAGCCAACATGGTCTCCCGATGGATTGGCCGAGAGGTAGCAGAATCATGATTATATTAAGGTGTTTGGCCCACACCCACGAGTGCTACGAATGGTTTTCATGCAGTTGCTAACCTGAAGGTGAGAGGTTCTAATCCACACAGTGGTACATAACAGAAAGGCCTGGTGATGTGCTCTTGTAAATATTACAGTCAAGAAGGCCACCTATGGAGCCGTCTATTCTCCATTAACAAGGATCGCTGTGAGTTGGAATTTACTCTTTGGCAAAAGATTTAGTTTTGATCAAAAGGATAGCTTGCCAAAAACTGAGATTTAGGAAGTTTGTGGGTGAGCCAGGAACGCAGGCTTGAGCCTGGGAGTGCAGGGCGCCTGTTAGGTGCCCACGTAGAGAAGTCACTAGGTGTCAAAGACACCAGACAGATGGGCTGAGTTCAGGAGGGTTGTCTGGGCGGAAGGATTAATCAGAGGCTCTTGGCATATTGATGGCATGTCCCAAGACTGGATGAGATCACTGAGCGAGGAAGTGGAAACAGCAGAGGGTCACCCTGGGACCCTCCACAGAAGAAGGAGAAGAGAAGTGGGACTTTGGCAAGGGACCAGCCTCAGAGGCAGGAGGCAGTCCAAAATGCTGGGTCACCATGGAGTGAAGAAAGTCATCTGAAAGGGTTGCCACCTTGCCAGGCCTAACAGCTGGTTTGGTGAAGGTTTTTTCCATCCACTTTCCCAAAAAGACCTCGGTCCTCCCTGCTCGGGTGAGAGTTGGGCTTAGAGGACCCCCACCCCACTGGACTCTCCCTCAGAACTGGGTCATCCCCACACTGTGGTCTGGCATGTTGTTGAGCGCCATTGAGTCAACCCCAGCTCCCAGTGACACCATGTGGCAGGGTGGAGTTCGCCATAAGGATTCCCTAGGCCCCAGTGGCGTAGTCTGTAGAGAGATGCTCTACTAACCAAGAGACCTCAAACGTTGGGGGTTCGAGTCCACCAGTGGTTCTACAGGAGAAAGATGGTCAGTGTCCTCCTGTTACAATTTACAGCCTCGGAAACCCAGTGACTCAACAACCTTTTGTGTTTGAGAGAATGAAGAGGGAGGCCGGGTGGGGAGCAGCTGTTCTGAAAGTTGCACATATAGCAAAAGTTCATGATTTGAATCTAAAAGGTGGGTTTACTTGGGGTGGCTTTTGTGAGGAGCTGATGATGGAGATTATGAGGGTGGCTAAAGTGCCCCCAAAGCTTCCCCACAGCACCCCTCTGGGGCCTCAGGTCTGTCTGGGCTTCTGCAGACCCAGGGACCAAAAGTGTCGGACTGAGACCTCCCGTCCTGGGCTCTGCCTCCTCCTTTAGGTGCACACAGAGAAGACTTTGCTGGAGTCAGTGAGGTCATGTCCCCCCACTGTGAGGAGGCCCAGTGAGAGAGAACCAAAATCATTTCCCTTTTTTTTCTGCAATTTTTTTTAACTTCTTGCACATTTTATAGTAGTATGTTTGTTTGTTTGTTTGGTTCGTTGGTTGGTTGGTTGGGGTTTTTTTTAGTGTTATTATTAAAGTCCAATTCCGTTCGTGAATACCCTTCAGATAAATAGCTGACCAGATGGTCCACAACTCTGGGACTTTCCCTGAATAATTCCTGAACTTGGTCAGCAGGAGCCACAAGTGAGAACGTGGGGTTGTAAATGAGAGTTGTTGCTGTTGTGTGCCATTGAATCAGAACCGACTCACAGCCGTTCCAGCAGTGGGTTTTCAGAGACTGTAAATTACACGAGAGGAGACTGTTCATCTTTCTCCCTCAGAGCAGTGGGTAGATTCAAACCACATGCCTTTGGGTCGGCAGCACAAGTCCTTACCCACTGTGCTCCCAGCACTCACTTGTAACAAGAATAATAGTAATGCTACAACAACAACAAAGAGAGAGCTCTGTGGGCCTGGTAGATAGAAAGTGATGCTACCAAGTCAAAGGTGGGTGATTTTAATCTGCAGCTCTCAGGTCTGGTATTAATTGTTTTTGGTCAAACATTCTTGTAAGTGGTATAGCACTGGTCTGTCCATTTGCTTGCTGTACAGAGGTAACTCGTGGTTGCTGTGATGCTAAATGCTGTAGCACTGATGTGTCAAATGCAATAATGGTTACCCATGGTGGACAGTGTTTGGTGGAGCCCCCCAATTAAATAAGCTTGGAAGCAGGAGTGGCATCCTCTTCTGAAATGGCTTGCCTCTGGAAACCCTATGAACCTGAAGAAACGATGAAAGTTAATACAAGTGTCCAGGTCTTTCGTTCATTGGGTCACTATGAGTCGTCTAAGACTCGACAGCTCTTTACAACAAGAACATAAGCATATGTGGTTTCTCTTCAAGTTGTTCAGCAGCTCTGGGCCTCAGATGTCTTCCTCTGTGCAATGGAGATAGTATTTGCTGGCTCAGAATATCAGTAACATTAGCCCTGATTCGCCGTCCCCAGCTTACAGCTATGAGGTTTACTTGGGAGCAAGAGTAATGTGATTGTCCTCTGTCTGTGCTGCTGGCTCACCTGGTCTCACTCTGCAGGTGACTTGGCTGGGTGGGGGTTATGTGCTTTCTAAAGGTGCTTCCTACATCAGCTTAAACTCCCAAAGGGCAGCACTCAGTGCTGATGACTCCACTTTGTCTTGTCGTCAAGGTATTCTGAAGACCCAGGTCCCATTATTAACGTACCAAGGTGGATCAGCAGAGGCGGCCCAGGCCTTCCTGTGCAAAGATGGGGACCCCAGGTCACCTAGGTATGTACATGCCAACGCAGGTTAATTGGGAAAAAGGAAAAGCCCCCACATGATCATCTTTGCCGGCCGAGTTTCTGCTTGCATTAACCCTCCAGAGAGAATCACGCCGTGGCCACAGGAATAAAAGGATTTCTGAGGCAGCCAAGTGACCACGAGGTTCGGGGGCCTCCCAGTGTGCTGGGGACTTGACAAAGGGCCTCTGGAAGTAGCAGGTTCCTTCAAAGGGAGAGATAGTGGTTCTTCCTGCTAGAGGGAAATGACTGGAAATTTTTTTGTTTACTTTTAAAAATAATTTTTATTTGAGACAGAGTTTACAAGCCATGTTGATTTTTTTATTCAATTGTTTATATACCTTTCTTATTGGTTTGCTTGTAATCATTCATATATATTATATCCCCTTTTGAACATTGATATAATACATCCTGCTCTGTTATCCTCCTACTTCCACAATAATGGACTTATTTATACAGTATTTATCCTTATAGACTGAGTTAGTTCACTCAGCATAATGCTGTCTAGACTGTTACATGTTATATAGGATTTGATGAAATCATTGTTCCTTAGTGCTGCATAGTATTCCATCATGTAAATGTAGCACAATTCCTCAATCCATTCATTTGTGGATGGACATTTAGGCTGTGTCCACTTTCTTTCTATTGTGAATAACACTGCTATGAACATATCATCACTCCTATATGAACACAGGTGTACATATGTGGAGAATTATTGTTTTTAAAAAATGAGAGGTTTCTCAAACTGTAGGCCAGAAGATCACAGACAACCAGTCACCAGAAGACCACAGACAACAAGTCACCTTGCCTTCACTGACTAATGGTGGTCCTCCCGTGAGTTGCTGAGGCTATAAATCTACAGAGAAGACCGCTCACCTTTCTGTCTTAAGGTAGCTGGTGGATTGGAACTGCCAAACTTTTGGTTAGCAGACCACCATTTAAGACATGCTGCCACCAGAGCTCCTTCATAACCCGTTCGAAGGTGGTGAGATCATTTCAGTGGGATGTCACCAGCAATTCTGATTAATGAATAGACTATAATTGAAAAGAAAATGCCATGGTCTGTATGTTGTTGTTAGATGTCACTGAGTGTGTGACTCATAGCGACCCTGTGAACAGCAGATCTGCACCCCATGTGTCCTGTGGCTTCCTCACATTCTTTCACATGTGTGAGCCCATTGCTGCAGTCACTGTGTCAATCCACTGGGTTGAGGGTCTTCTCTCTTTCACTGCCCTTCTGCCTTTCCAAGCACGATGTGTCTCTCCAAGGAACAGCCTCTTAGCAACATGCCCCAAGTACATTAACTAAGCTTCACCACCATCTCTCCAAAGAGCACTCTGTACCTTCTCCAAGAGATTGTTTCTGTTCTTTTGGAATTCCGTGGGATATACTGTGCTGCTCTCCAACCTCACAAGTCAAAGGCATCGACTCTTCCATCATCCTTATTCATTGTCCAGCCATCAGCAGCACAGCAAGTGATTAAAAAGATCACGGCCTAAATCAGGCACACGTCAGTCCTCTAACATCATTGCTCCTCAATAATTTGGAGAGAGGTCCCTGACTGCAGATTTTCCCAGTGCAATACGTCTCCTGATCTCCTGACAGTTGATACCAAGGGTGTTGATTTTGCATCTAAATATGATAAAGTCGTTGGCAGTTTTAATCTTTTCTCCGTCTATCATGATGCTGTCTATCAGTAAATACGGCTTTGTGAGACCTCACTCGAGCTTGGATGTGTGTGTATATTTCTTTGTGTTATGGGCAAACATTTTTAAAAAACATTTTAAAATTATATATGGAGATGTGTTTTGGTTACCTTTACAAAATTGTAGTGCAAACATTTTTTTGGACCAAAAAAACTAATACCCTTTTCATTGCAAACCAGTACATACACACACTTAGTCCTCAAACAGAAGTTTCAAAAAACCAGTTACTTTGGTTATACTGAAATTTTTCTATCCTTACCCACTCTCTAAAGAATGCTGATCAAGTCCATAAATTGATTTTACAGCCCGCTGCTAAGAGTGCATGTGGATACCCCCTGCTCTATTAGCCAACACAGACACATTACCTGAAAAGTCACGGCTGAATCTGGTATTCAGAATGAGGACCCGAGTCACCAGGAGAGTGCTTTATTAAGGAACTGATATGCTATTTAAAACTACCAAATTGAATATCTGGGATGCATATTAGAAAGGTTTCTGTTTCCCCAGAGTGTTAGCATGCAGACAAAGCTGTGTTTCCAGTGAAGAGGGAGCCCATGGACATGACGGTGCTGACTCAGCTCTGACTCACAGCGTCCCGTGTACAACAGGTCAGAGCCTTGCCTGTTCCTGCCCTTCCCCGCAGTCCCCACCAGGCTGAAGCCCGCTGTGACAGCCACCCTGTCAGTCTCTCCTTTGCTGACCCTCTGTTTTTCTAGCATGATGTCACTTTATGTGACACACGGGACTGTTAGTCTAAAGTTTGGCAGTTTTCATTAGTGACTCCTCCACGGGGCACCTCCCATAAGGATTTACAGCCTCAGAAAACTGATAAGGCGCTGTCATGAATTGGAACCCGTTTTATGGTAATGGGGTTTGGTTTTTGGGTTCCCCCCACTTCTCTTCTATTTTCTGGTTTTGTTCCCATTCCAAAGAAAGGTGACCTGACAGAGTGCAGAAATTATCAAACAGTATCATTGATATCACGTGCGAGCAAGATTCTGCTGAAGATTATCCAAAAAGGATAGAAACAGCAAATCAACAGAGAACTGCCAGATGTGCAGGCTGGATTTAGAAGAGGCTGTGGTACTAAGGATATTATAGCTAATGTTAGATGGATCTTGGCTGAAAGCAGGGAGTACCAGAAGAATGTCTATCTTTGTTTAATTGACTATGCAAAGGTATTTGACTGTATAAATCACAATAGACTGGCTAACTCTGAGAAGAATGGGAATCCCAGAATATTTTATTGTGCTTATGCGAAACCTATATTTGAACCAGGAGGCGGCTGTCAGAACAGAACAAGGAAACACTGCCTGGTTCAGAATTGGAAAGGGTGTACAGCAGGGATGTGTCCTATCTCCAGATCTTTTCAATTTATATGCAGAACAGATCATCCGTAAAGGTTGGCCCTATGAGGAGGATTGTGGCTTTGGGATTGAAAGAAGACTCATCAACGACCTGCATTATGCAGATGCGACAACCTTGCTTGCTGAAACTGAGGAGGACCTGAAGCTCTTGCTACAAAAGGTCGAGGACTGCAGCCTCCAATATGGATTAAAGCTCAACATCAGGAATGCAAAGATTCTCACCATTGGGCCAATTGGCAACATCATGATAGATGGTGAAGAGATTGAGATTGTTAACAGCTTTAGTTTGCTTGGCTCCACAATCAATACTCTTGGTACCAACAGCCAGGAAATCAAAAGATGAATTGTACTAGGAAAGTCTGCTGTCAGAGACCACTTCAGTGTACTGAAGAGCAATGATGTCACTTTGGAGACTAAGTTGCACCTGATCCAGGACCCAGTCTTTGCAATTACTTGCTCTGTGCCAGAAAGCTGGACAATGACTAGGGATGCTAGAAAGACAATGGATGCCTTTAAGCTGTGGTGCTGGAGAAGAGTATTGAATATACAATGGACTGCCAGAGGAACAAAGAGTTCATCCTAGAGAGGGTGAAACCAGGCTGCTCCTTGGAAGCAAGAATTCTGAGGCTCTGTCTGACATACATTGGGCGTTATTTCAAGGAGGGACCAGTTCTTTGTGAGGGACATCATACTTGAAATGGGAGAGGGACAGCACACGAGGGGAAGCCTGTGGATGAGACTGATTGATTCAGTGACTGGGGTAATGAGAGTAGGTGTGTCAGAGACACTAAGGTCAACACAGGATCGAGCAAGTTTCAGAGCTATTGTACAAAGGGTCACTATGAGTCATAAGCGACTCGATGGCATATGACAATTCTATTTTTATTTCTTCTATTGGGGAGAAATTCTAAGAAATTTGGAAGACAGTTACCTGGCTGAATATATTTGTTCCTGTTTCCCACAAATAAAACAAAACAAAACAAACAGTGATCCACAATAATGTGGAAATTTCTGAACATTATCATAAGCAAGTAAAATCTTGCTTATAATAATGAGTAAAATGATGCTGGGTGGGTAGAATTATTAGTTCTTAACACTAAGTAAAGAAAAAGTAACACTGACCCCACCATGGAGAGAGAAAAGCGTACTCTTTTTGGAGAAGATGGGTTGACTTCTGGGAACAGGCTTCACATGAGCCACTCACTGCCCCCCATGGGCTCAGTGTGCCCTTCTGATCAGAAAAATCAATCCTCTTCCTACAAGAATGTAACTGAGTCCTCCCCGGACGGCAGGCCCCTCCAGGAACCTGAGGGCATATTGATCTCACGAGGACTACTTCTTCTAGGCTGCCTTCCTATCGCCTCAGATGCAGATCAAGAGGGAATTCAGTTCCCATCTGACCCATTTCCTTTTCCAGCACCAGACACCATCTCCAGATTATCTTCTGAGACCTGGTTGCTGGTCTTCTTTTTGCAGACAGATGTGATGCCTTAGAATTCTAGTACAGCAAAGGGTAGGGACAGGAACACGAGTGCGTATGTGTGCTTTAAATGTTTGCAGGCATGACTTCCAGGGTTAAGCTTCTAAAGCACTTAACCTTGGGAGAAGGGCATTGCACAGTTCCACCTTCTTCCTAAATTCTTTCTCCCTCACTGACTCAGAGCTCACCCTCCACTGAGTTTCCAAGAGGCTATAAGTCACACAGGAGATTGTCTGTCTTCACCTGATGAGCTGGTAGATTTGAACCACCAGAGAGCCGTAGCTTTGGGCTTGGCACTGCAACTCCAGGGCATCAGTGGTTTCGTGGGGGAAAGGACCACCCCCTGCCATGCAGGTTGCAGCCTCGGGAGGGCCAGCTATGAATTGGTTCCATTTCATTGTCAATGAGTTCTTAAATGAGATGATCAGAACATTTCTGTCAATAATAATCGTAACCACAACTGATGACAACGAATGTCTGCTGAGCAGTGAGTGGGTGGGGTCTGTACCAAGTGCCTCTCCTGTCCAGTCCTCTCAACAATTAGGAGAGGAGAATGGGAAGTAGGACCCCGGGTGTTGGAGTAAAAATGGTCTGAAGGGTTTTCAGTAGCTGGCTCATGGGAAGTGGGTCACCAGGAGTCTCTTCCGAGGTACTTCTAGGGAAACTCAAACCACTGACGTTGGTGGTTAGTGATCAAAGCTGAGATGTGTCACCAAGATTACAAGAAATGAGAGGTTGTGAGCCGATTCAAACTCAGAATGACCCCACATAACAATAAAACTGCCCTGCAGGGTCCCCGAGACTGACAGGGTTTTTTTGTCGGTTTTTTAATTTTTATTTTATTAATTTTAATGAACATTTACAGAGATTTTGGATTTCCATTTATTCACTGTTGCATTTTTCTCCCTGTCCCCACCCCCAGTTTGCTCTTCTCTTTGAAAAGTAAAATTCCTTCATTGGTATACAATCCCCCCTGCCCTCACCTCACGTACACTCAACTATGCAACCTTCATTCTGGACTCTTGTCATAACCATAATACCCAATCATATATCACTTTTAAACTGTTCTCTCCCTCATCTGTTTCAATGCAGTATACATGATTTATCCAGTTTTGCTCAGTCTTACCCCAACCCTGATGTCAGTCCCATTCTACAGCAGTGGCCCTATGCAGTATTTGTCCTTTTGTGACAGTTTTACAATACTTTGCCAAGTTTTCTCCCATGGAGCCAACTAGTAGGTTCAAACCAGCAACCTTTGAGATAGCAGATGGGTGTTTAACCCTTGTGTCACCAAGATTCCTTAGTGCATGAAGTGTGTAACTGCTCTTCTGCTGCTTACTGTTGCAGAGGGTAGGCAGCGAGTCCATGCCAGTCACAGGAGGAGGGGCGCGGAGCCTGGTCCACAGACCACAGCCTTACAGCCGTCTCTCCCCCTGGGCTCTCAACCTCAGGTTTATCTGGTGTGAGAGACACTTCTTCTTCTATTGCACACCCTTTGCTGTTGGTTTTGTGTCCCTGCGCTGGACAGGATCCTGGAAGGGTGCAGGTGTGAGCCTTTAACACTCAATACGCACATTGGGTTTCTCTGCCGGGCTCAGTCTCAGGATGGGACGTGAGCCGTGTCCGCTGTGGTGACCAGGCCACCGCCCTGCCTGCTTCTGCAGACTCTTAATTAATTTCTAACTATTTTGAATAAATTTCAAATTTAAGTAACTGGTAGATGGTGGCCGAGGACTGACACAGTGGTTCCAACAGTCGGCTCACCCATAGCAGTGAGTGTGAGGAAAGCATAGGATTGGGCAGGGCTCTGTCAGATGATACAGGACCGGGCAGATCTCTGACAGGTGGTTCAGGACGAGGCAGGGCTCTGACAGGTGGTTCAGGACCGGGCAATATCTGTCAGCTGGCACAGGACCATGGTATGGTTCTGTCAGGTGGTACAGGACTGGGACCAGGGTTCTATCAGGCAGCATGGGACTGGGCAGGGTTCTGTCTGTTATACACAAGGCCCTGAGAGTTAAAACTGACTCATTGGCACCCAACCCAACAACAACTCATAGACTGGACCATGGCACAAGGCTTGGTCTATAGTAGGTATTGATTATATAGGAATATAGGTAAGAAAGAGTCAATGAATACAGAGTCCCTTCCACACACACAAGAAAGGGCAGCCCAGCTACCATGGATCAAGTTCTTCTCCATAAAAATGTACTTTGTATGGTATAACCACTGTGGAAGGCGGTATGGCACTTTCTCAAAAAGTTGCAAATACCATTTGACCCAACAATTCCACTACTGGGAATATACCCCAAAGAGACCATAACTGACATCCAAGCAGATGTATGCACACCCATGTTTATCATGGCTTTGTTCACAATAGCAAGGAGTTGGAAACAATCTAAGTGCCCCTCAACAAACGAATGGATAGAGAAGCTCTGGTATATTCATTCACACAATGGAACACTATTCTGCATTGAAAAAACAAGGAACTCATGTAATATTATTCAAAATGGGTGAGCCTGGAGGACATTATGATGAGTGAAATATCTCAGTCACAAAAAGAACAAATACTGCATGATACCACTGCTGTAAAATAGGACTGATATCAGGGTTGGGGCAAGACTGAGAAAAACTGGATAAATTGTGTATACTGCACTGAAACAGATGAGGGAGAGAATAATTTAAAAGTGATGTATGATAGGGTATTATGGTTATCTCAAGAGTCCACAATTAAGGTTGCATAGTGGAATGTACTTGGGGCAGTGGGAGGGGTGCAGGGGGATTGTGTACCAGGGAAGGAGTGTTTCTTTTACTTTTGAAAGAGAGGAGCGAACTGGGGGGAGGGGGGAGGAGGGCCGGGCGGGGAGAGTAGTGCAGCAATGAATGAATGGAAATCCAAAATCTCTGTATATGTTCATTAAAATTATTAAAATTAAAAAGAAAATTACAAAAAAATAAACTTGATAATACATAACAACTTTTAACATTAATGTGTTGATAATGCAGCTATAGTTTATTCATTTTCATACATAGAAATTGCAGTTGCATTTTTTATGTTTTATAAAAGTCAAATGCAAATTAACATATAAATAAATTCTTTTTACATAAAATTTGAAAAAAAAAAGTACTTTGTAAATCCTAACCTCTCTGCCTGTTGTCATAATCCTGGGAGGCAGGCTAGTACCGGATGCAGGGACAGAGGGAGAGAAGCCTTCTTCTAGATCTGGTACCTTGAAATCAGACTTCTGGCCTCCTCCAGTGAGAAATGGAGCTCTGGTGGCCTAGTAGTAAGAAGCTGCTCTGCAATCCCAAAGGCACGCAGTTCAAACCCACCAGCTGCTACCTGGGGATAAGGATGGGCTATCTCCTCTTGTGTGATTTAAACGAGAATGTACTGTTTGTCAAAGCCAGCCCCTTGTGGCATTTCCAGCATGGCAGCACCCGATGACTGACGCCCTGGACAGACTAACTGGACAGCCCTGTACCCTGGCCTGCAGGTTTGACCATCTGGTGGCCATCGAACGAGCAGGAAGGGCCGCTGACGGAAACTACTACAACGCGAGGAAGATGAACATCAAGCATCTGGTTGACCCCATCGATGACCTTTTCCTCGCAGCTAAGAAGCTCCCAGGAATCTCGTCGACTGGTAAGTGAGGGCACGGTGGGAGCATTAGATGCCCCTGTAAATGGACCTTAAATGCACAGTTAGTACACTATCTCTCTCATTAATAATGGAATAGTCTAACTTCTCGCTGTGCAGAATGTTAACATCCAGGAAGAGTTTTCACATCCATCGTGCTGTTTAATCCTTTTCATTATCTGCGGAGCAGACAGGCAGGTAGATGACTTGTCTGGCACAGACCCTTCCAGGAGCCCAGCTAGGTGATGCTGACGGCTGGCTCCCAGCCCCCAGCCCATCGCTCATCTCTTTGACGATGATGATGATGATGATTCCTTTTAATGAAAATTTACAGTCTTTAGGTTTCCATTCATTCATTGTTGCCCTTCCCTCCCTGCCATCACTCGTCTCTTGGGCATGTGCTGCCTTTATGAATTTCCCAAACTGCTTAGTGTGACTCCCTAAGGGAGCCAGGGTGCTCCTTTGGGGGTGATGGGGAGCTGGGTAATTAGGCTTGTTTGTTCTGTTTTCTGCCCTCTCCACTCAAACAGCTCCACCATTTCCCAGACTCATTAGCCTCCCTTGGCTTTTTGAGGTTTTCAGGAGACAATGAAAGCCTGCAGGCCATGAGCACATTTCTGCAAAGAGCCCAGCTTTTTCCCAGAAGAGGCCCTGGGTGGGTGCACAGAAAGAGGCTGCATTCACACTTCCTGTCCTGCCCTACTGCCTGGGGCACCAGGGCTGGAGTAACTAGGGTGGGTTAGGAAGGGGTGTTTGGGCCCACAGGGCAGGCAGGAGCTGGACGAACAGCCAGAGGGTGCATCCCTCTCCTGGGATGCCCCCAGATCACTGAGAAAATGGGCAGAGCTGGTCTTCCATGGACCCCTGGGCCTGCTCTGGGTGACTGGCCTGGGCACTGCCCTGCCAAGCAGGGCCATCTCCTCTCTGAACCCTGGCTTCCTTTTGTGCCCCATCAAAACCTTCCTCAGTTTTCTCAGTCCCACTGCAGGGAGAGGGGAGGTGGTGTTTATTCCTTAGAACAAGCAATCACACAAGCTCAAAGGGTACTGTTTGCTCAGTGATAAAGCTCAGAAAACTCTGGGAAGAAGAGCATCACATCAAGACCAGAAGAAGACTCCAATCTCAGAGATGGATGGTTCGAATCCACCAGATGCTCTGCTGAAGAAGGAGGAACAATCTCCTCCTGTACCAGTCAGATCTGATTTGACGGTACACACAAAAAAATAATGAAATAAAATAATTTTTTTTTAAAAAAGAAGAAGACTCGTAAACAACCTGAGTTATGCAGAGGACACAAACTCACTTGCTGAAAGTGAGGAAGACTTGAAACACTTGCTGCAAAAAAACCAAAGACCACAGCCTTCAAGGTGGATTACATCTCAACATCAAAAAAACAAAGAGCCTTTCCACTGGGCCAACAGGCTACATCATGATACATGGAGAAAAGACTGAAACTGCCAACAGTTTCATCTCACTTGGATCTATAAAAAACACCTTTGGTATCAGCAACCGGAAGTTCAGGAGAGATATTGTACTGGGAAAGTCGGCCATCAGGGACCTCTCCAAATACTGAGAACTAATGATGTTAGTTTAAAGACCAAGGTGTGGTCTTTCAGGTAGGAGATCCAGAGTGACACTGTACACCTGCACTTTTGCAGAGAGTGCTGTTTCCAAGGCCTGTTAACTTTACACATCCTCTCCTTCCACACGGGAGGGACCTGCTGCAAACATGCTCTCCCAGATCCTCGGTCAAGCCAAGAAGCACCCAAGCTTGATCCCTACCTCTCTTTGTGTTCATTGGAGCTGGAGGTACTGGAGCAGGGTCGTATGTCATGCGTCTGGCATTTTTTAATCCAGATGTCTCTTGGGACAGAAAGAAGAACCTAGAACCATGGAACAAACTAGGCTCCAATGATCAATACAAGTTCTACTCAGTGAATGTGGATGACAGCAAACTGAAGAAAGAAGGCCCTGACTTCTAAATGAAATTCTTTTTTAAAAAGCTGCTTAGAATGAAGGTCTTCCAGAAGCCATCCGCACAACTTCCCACTTAACAAGGATATGTTTCTTCCCTAAATGCATGAAATCACATCGGTGTATCGTGTTGGAACTTACACTACATAATAATGTAAAACTTGAGGTGGGGGGAAAGACCAAGGTGTGCCTTGTTCAGGTCTGTTCCATCACTTGCTGTGCATCTGAGAGCTGGTCAGTGAATAAGGACGACAGAAGAACTGATGCCTTAGGAGAGAGCACTGACTATTCATGGACTCTCAAAAGAACAAACAGCTATGAGTTGGAGAAAGTGTTGCCAGAGTGCTTCTTGGAGGCAAGGATGGCGATGCTTCGTACCACATACTTTGGGCATATGTTAGGAGAGGCTACTACTCGGAGAGGGACGTGCTGCTTGGAAAGGTGGAGAATCAGCAGGGTCTGCGTCAGGGGGTTCAGCTGTGTCAGGGATGATGAGGACGGCGCAGCGCAGCACAGGGTTCAGATCTGTTGTCCACGGGGTCACTAGGAGCCGTCCTTGACTTGATGGCACCTAACAACAACAACAACAACACTGAGGAGGTAGAAAGTGATAGGAAAGAAGCATAAATGAAAATGGAAAAGAAAGGGAGAAATCAGGACGAAGCTGGTATGACCTGGGAATTATAATCAATGTCATGAATTAAAAGGTATATGAATTGTTGAATGGAAAATTAACTTATTCCATGAACTTTCACCAAAATCACAATAAAAAGTTAAAAGAAAGAAACAAGCAGGAAACACTTTTTCTCAGTTTCCAGGCAGCTGCCAGGTTGTGATGTAGCACTCGGGTAATTGAGGCCCCCGGTTAAGTCCACACCTTCTCACCGCCCAGGAGCCAGGTGGCTCGGAGCCACCAGCCAGAACGGTTATGGAGTGCAAAGGACAGTGCTCAAAGCAAACAAAGCAGAGACAGAAATAGCTAAGGTCCAAGTGCAGGGCGATGCCAGGCGTGTCCTTCTCTGTGTGCGCTCACTCGGCCAGGGACTGAGAGGCCACCCTGCCCAGGCCCTGAACTCAGCCGGTCTGTGGTCATTCAGAGCAGGCTTGTTCCATGGCCAGGCCCACGTGCCTGGTGCTGGAGACACATCGGCTCTGACAATGACCCCTCATCCTGTCCTCCCCATCTCACAGTGAACACCGTTCCTAGACAGAGTTCTTCCACGCGGTCCTCGCTCTCGTAGCAAGCAAGCACAAAATGCAACCATACAGGCTAAATTATGTATACTGCATTGACACAGATGAGAGGACTGTTTTTGAGAGGTATATGATTAGGAATTATTGTCATGACAGGAGTCCAGAACTAGGGCTTCACAGTGCTGTGGACTTGGGGGGAGGGATTGTATAACAATAAAAGAATTTTTCTTTTACTTTTCAAAGAGAAGAACGAACTGGAGGGGACGGGTGGGCAGGGAGAAAAGTGCAACAATGAATGAATGGAAACTCAAAGTCTATGTAAATTTTCATTAATAATAATAATGATGATGATGATAAAATAATAATAATAATAATAATAATAACAACACATATGCCCACTCTGTGGGGGTTGTAGTTGGTGCCACTGATGACTTGTAACCACCCTACGAACAATAGACTGAAAATTTACCCTGTCCGTTTACCATCCTCAGACCCTGTCACGCTCCAGCCCACCTTTGCAGTCACTGCGTCACCCGCCTCAGTGACAGTCATCTCTCTTTTGCTCACCTTCACTCTTCCCAGCATGCTGTCCTCTTCCTAGAACTGGCCTCACCTGCCAATATGCCCAAAGTATGTGAGATGAACTTTCACCATCCTTGCCTCCTCCAAGGAGCGCCCTGGATGCACAAACTCCAAAACACATTTATTAGTACGTAAGCACGAGAAAGGGAACTCCCGGGGCTTAGTGGTAAGGAATTGTGCATTCAATCCTGAGGTACATGGTTTGAGTCCACCAGGTGCTCCAAAGGAGAAAGATGGGCAGCCAACTCTCGTGCGATTTACTGCCTCAGAAACCTGAGGAGGGTCAGCCGTCACCTCTAATGTGACAGTCCACCAGCACCACAGCACAAGTAAGGCCAAGCTTGCCTTATAACTCTGAACTGGCCCCTCGGCTTTCTGAGGCTCTAATCTTTACAGAAGCAGGTCGCTGGTGGCTGCATCATTCTACAACAGAGAGCCTTATGGGATCAAACCACCAGCCTTCGGGTCAGCGGTCAGCTCTTAGCCAATGTGCCACTTGGGCCCAAATCCTACTGCTGTCAGGTCACTTCCGAATCACAGTGACCATGCTGTGTGTCATAGAATAGGGTCTGCCACATAGTAGACCCTCCTCTGGGTTTTCAGAGGCAGTAAATGGCAAGGGAGGAGATTGCTCATCCTTCTCCCGTGGGGCAGCTGGTGGATTTGAACCATGTGCCTTTGGGGTTGTACTGCAGCTTCTTGCTTCTAGGCAACCAGAGCCCACATCATTGACATACTCTCTTGTTTGTTCATAGATGCCATCAAGTCAGGTACAACTCATAGCGACCTTGAACCCTGTCCTATCCTGCGTCAGCCTCAGGATCTCCGACACCCTTGAGCCCACTGCTGCAGTCACTGTGTCAGTCCACCTGATTAAGGGTCTTTCTCTCCTTCACCATCCTTCCACCTTCCCAAGCATGATGTTCTTCAAGAAATAACCTTTCCTAGAGACATGACTAAAGAATGTGAGATGAAATTTTATCATTGTTGCCTCCACGGGGCATAGAGAAACATATAGTTGTTAGGTATCATTGAGTACAATTCACAGCAACTGTATGAATGACAGGTAGAATCCCAGCCCATCCTGTGCCATCCTCATCATCTCTGATACACTCGAGCCCTTTGCTGCAGACACCGCGTCAATCCATCATGGAGGAGGTCTTCTTCTCTTTCACTCACTTTCCAGACTTTTAAGCATATCTTTTTCCAAAGAATAGCTTCTCCTAGCAACATGTCCAAAATATGAGAGAAGAAGC